AAATGAATAAAATGTTAGCCGGTATGGATAGCTCAGTGGTTTGCGTATTTTGCTGTGGAACCAGAAGTTGGGAATTTGATTCTCCACTGTCATTCCTTGACTAGAGCTGGATTTGATTCATACGGTCCCGTCCAGCTGTGCAGTTCTAAGATGATGATGATGATGATGATTAAATTTCTGGCAACAAACCAGATATAATCAGCAACACAGATGTTAATAAAGGACCACCGCACTCTTATCACAGAGCTTGAAATACTATGTATACAGGCAGAAAATAATTGTAAGGGTCAAGTCTCCAAAATATAATTGGATAGTCATAGAATCATAGAATAATGAAGTTGGAAGGAGCCTATAAGGCCATCTTGTCCAACCTTCTGCTCAATGCAAATCAAAGGATATATTTCAATATGAGATATGCAGGAATGCAAGGAGACAAAGTAACACGGGAAACAGACTTCTCGGTTAGCATTACACAGCAGCAGTGGGAGAAGTTGGGTAAATGCACCATTAAAAGCACTTTTGGCCCAGATGAAGAATGCCTGAGAAACAGTCCTGAACTGGAACTTAGCCCTGTTCAGCTATCTAATATGCCTGTCTAGATTTTCCCTGCATGCTGGAAAGAGCGTGACTAGACGGAAACATTAGCAAAGCTATTGTGGGAATGCCAAAAAAGTGAAAATATTTTGGAGGGAAGTGGATGGCCACATTTCAGAAATAGCTAATCAAAACATTGAGTTGTCTGGGGCTTTTTATGGGTCCTAATGCAGACTTGCTGCACAAGCAATTGATATCCTTCCTAGTGAGGGCAGCACAGCTAGAATTAGCAGCAGGGTGGACGACACTGAAGGGGTTTACAGCAGATAATTGATTTAAAAGAATATGGCAGACAATGCTGGCAGAAAAATCAACATATCCTCTTAGACCAGTGTTTTCTAGCCTGGGGGTTGTGACCTAAAAGTGTGTCACAAAGTGTTTTTGTATGTTGTAGCCTTTGTTTCATAATTTCTTATTTTGACCTTTCAGAGCAGGATATTAAAGTTAGTGTGTATGTATGAGAAACAGCTCCTTTAGGGGAGAAAAAAAAGCTTCTGCTTTCTGAGAAGGGATGACTTTATGCTATTAAATAAGCCTTTTTCTGCAAACGCGTGTGTGTGGGCCTGTTTCCAAGTTACTTGCTTAGCATAAAAGGCGGGTTACAACTCACAAAAGTTTGGGAACCACTGTGAGACTGTCAAAAGATGCTTTCTTTGAAACATGGAACGACTTTATTAAAATCATTGTGGAATCCATAGGGGAATTCAAACCAAAATGACACTGCCTGTACCTTTGGCAGAATATGTTATAAACTCAAAAGTGTACTAAACTCCAAAAGCAATAAACATTACGCCCGAGATGTGTTGTACATGCTTCCATGTTTGTATTATGTTTCAATTTTTTTTCATTTTCTATGTTGATTTTGAAATACGAATAATGAAAAAAGAAAGAAACCCTATTTGTGAACTGGAAATATAGCACTGGTTCTTAAACTTGGAGACGTGGATGTTGTTGGACCACAACTTTCAGGGGTATTGATCATTTGGCTTCTGGGATTTGGAGTCTCTGAACATCTGAGGCTCCAAGTTTGGGAACAATTTAAATCTTGCATCCTATGTTAGCTGTGAAGAAGGTGAAAATGAGGAGTTACATTGTGTATTCCTTCATTCTGCTTATATATACACTTGTCCCTTCAACAGTGGTTAGGCTGGGGTGCCAGACTTCAAAATTCATGTATAACTCTTATCGCCCCAAAAATGTAACTACAAAACATAAGCAGTTGAATCACATGCACACCCACCCCTCCCGTGACCCGCATCAGCCTCCTGGCATGCCCTAGTGTCCTCTTTGGCTGCCACATAGAGTCACTGTGCCAGGAGAGGAGGCCAGCAAAACATCACCATCGAACTGGGGCACCCTGCACCATTAGCAACAGGGGCTTCGGTAAGTCTGAGACTTACCTTTCTTGGGCCACTTCCTGGAGACGAATAGCAGCACCATATTGATTTGATTGATTGATTGATTGCTAGATTGATTGATACAGGTGGCCAACAAAACATCACCATCGAACTGGGGCGCCCTGCACCATTAACAACAGGGGCTTCGGTAAGTCTGAGACTCACCTTTCTTGGGCCATTTCCTGGAGACAAACAGCAGCACCATATTGATTTGATTGATTGCTAGATTGATTGATATATTGGGGAAAAAAATCTGTTTATAACCAAAACCGTGCTGCTCAGACCCATGCAATTTAAGGGAGAAGTATGATTTGCTTCTAGTTTTGGCCAGTGGTTCTAGAGTGATGTTCTGTCAGAAAGTCTTGGATGAAATATTAAGGCTGATTGGTTGGAAATGGGTATAAGATCTTATCATGAAGGCAGTGCTAAGAATCCATCTGTCACAGGGCTCTGCTTTCTCAAGCTGATCAGTTCATTGCTAAACTTGTCTAGGGTAGCAGCAAAGATTGCAACATGACTAGCATGTCCTGTAGGAAAGGGGTCCCCAGCTCCTGATTCGTGACCCAGCAGTGGTCCGCAGCCTAGGCAGGACCGGGCCGCCGACACAGATTTTCTGCCCCCCCCACAAGCACCACCCCCACGAACACCAATACGCACAGGCATGCTCCGCAACCTGTGAGTGCACTGCACACATGTGCGCAAGCGCCCCCACGAGCACACCCTGCCCCCTGCAAGTGTGCCATGTACATGCATGCTCCAACCGACACAGATTTTCTGCCCCTCCACAAGCACACCCCCCACGAGTGCCAGTGCGCACAAGCATGCTCCGCAACCTGTGAGTGCGCTGCACACATGTGCGCAACCACCCCCACAAGCACACCCTGCCCCGTGCAAGTGTGCCATGTACATGCATGCTCCACCCCCTGCCGCATGCATGCATGAGTGCTGCCATGCGCATGCGCAAGCATGTTCTACCCTCCCTGTGGATGCGCCACACACACCTGAGCGTGCCACACATACCGCAAGCATGCCACACACACCCAAATCATCCACAGTTGGGAAAAGGTTAGGGACCACTGCTGTAGAAGACATACAGCATTATATTGTGATAGCAACCAAAGTTATTCTCAGGGCCAGTGTGTTTGATGTTGGTGATGTGTAGAAGCTGAGCTTGAGTGTGCCTGGCAATACAATATTGTTAATATATTTTGGGACATTTAATCTAAAAAATAGAATGCAGTCCAAAAAGATTAGTTTCTCCATTTACTTTACATTATTTTCAATGTTAAAAAAGCATACAAAAGAAGACAGTGAAGTAAGTGGATTACATGAGAATATATATATTTTGGTAATGCAAGCAGCGGCTTAGCTACAGGAAATATAAAATATAAAGATATACTTAATTAGATTTACATATCTTTTGTGTGCTACTGTATTCTCTGAGCTAATGGTATCTGGAGACAGAGAGAGGAGCTCAAACCATATGCTGTTTATTCTCCCACCCCTCATCACAATTTATCTCCTTCATCTTAATTCCATTTTATTTGCATTTTTTCTGGTAATTCCAAATCATGTGAATTGGAACAGCAACGTTAACCCTTTTAAAAATAAACAATGTGCTTCTAGTACTACCACAAAAATGTACTAATAATGCATAAGCATTATATTGAAATGGAGGGCTGCAATACTTTTGCCTTGATGGTTTGGGAAGTGCTGAGGCTGTCCCCCATCCTCCAGTGCACACATGTTTTTTTTTCTTTTTGTATGCCTGTGGTCAGAAGGTAGGGGAAGTACTTTGACCTGAAATTTGAGGTAAGGTCCATTCAGATGATGAGCCGTTGCCGGTTTGCAGTAATCGTTTCATCTTATTGTCTTGCAATACTTTTATGCCGAACTGTCCTGTCCAATATGAGCTAATCTTGTAACTGAAAGTATATATTGTGGACATTTAGAAAATTGCAGACTTCTCTTTTCCCAGTAATGGTTATTAATGTGAAACGTATGATTTGATGTCACTGCTTTGTCAGTTTCCCAACCGCGGCACGGCTTAATTGGCTCCTTCTTGAAGGGGCTTGAGAAACTGCAGTGCTTTTATTTTTTGCCATTGTTCCAAACATTATGAGAGGGAAGAGAGGGTGCAGGCCATTTGATAACTGCTTGGTTTTTGGTTCCATCCTGTGCCTTCACTTTATTTGTTGTGATCCATTTAATTTTGTCTTTTCTGGTCCTGGGTATAACTTGTGTTCATGCATACACCCCGTGCAATATCAATATGAAATGTTGGAGGTCAAGTTTTCCAGGGTGCCCCTGGCAGCATTTCTTATCAGAGAGAAACTTTGTAATGCATGTGTGGACTCTGGGAAGGAAGTCAACCCTTTCCAGAAAAGTTTTGAGAGCAATCCTATCCATTTGGTTAGAAATACGCCCCAGAGTTTTCAGTGCTGTGCGCCTCCAGGAAGTGGGGGAATATTTAGCCTGATGAGTAAGTCTGTAGAACTTCTAATACTTGCATTCCTTTGTCAGATTTCAGTTGGTCCTAGTTAAAGGTGTTGCTCAACTTTGAGCCTTAGTTAAGTTCAGCAAACAGATTTAAAGAAAATGTGGTGGCCAGCTGTAATTGTAGTAGCAGCTAGAAACTGTATGTATTTTTATTTTTAAAGGACTTGGAAGGAACCGATTATTGTTAAAAAAAATCACCCACTTCAATAAGAGATATTGGTGATAATTTATTTAATTTTTCAGTAGATTGAAATTGACATTTGCAACATTTTTGTATGGTTGAAAAATGAAGTTCCGGTTAGAAAAATTAACATATTGTGATATTTCGTTCATTTGTATTTCAAAGAACCTCTGACTTGCACATCAAAGTGCTTATTACATATCCATTTATGTTGCCAAGCTGAGTACCTTTTAAAAATGCAGTATATCCTGCTGCCTTTTACGTCTTATGTTCCGGATCAGAGCTAAGCGTTTGGTGAAAATAATCTATCTTAAATGTTCTTTCCACAGCAAAAATGAAGCATCTCAACTTGTCATTTGCAGCTTGTGGGTTTCTGGGGATATACCACTTGGGGGCAGCATCTGCTCTTTACAGACATGGTAAGAAGTTATTGAAGGTTGTCAAGGCCTTTGCAGGAGCTTCTTCTGGATCTTTGATTGCCACTGTTCTTTTAACAGTGCCAGAAAATATAGAGGTAATTGGAAACAGAATATGCAATCTTGGAAAGACAAACTTAAATCTACTCATTTAGGATATCAACTGAGATTTTATATATAGAGAGAGAGCTTATTCCAGATGCAACATTTTATAGCAAAGATGGGGAATAAATTCTTATCTGTTTGGTTGTATTTTTTTTGGGGGGGGTGCATGTCTTTTGTTCCACAAGATTTTATGTGCAGAATTGGGCAATGCTGGTCAATGATTTCTTGCAAATACATTTCCTTTTACAGTTCTTATTTAATTACTTTATAGCACACACTGACAAGTATTTATCATGGAAAGATTTATCATGTAGCTACTGAGACGAGCTTGATACTGGGGCTATAAAAATTCTATCAATCTAGACATAAAACATTTATTGTAGAAATGCACTTTATCCCAAATGGGCTGCAGGTTACAGCTTGTGTGTTAATAGCCGGCATAGACGTTCACTCTCTCAGTGGAAACGAACAACAATAAAAATACAGCAATTCTTAGTTTTCACACTTTATACAAAATAGCTGGAGATCACTTGGAAAGCAAGGCTACCGGTGGCGGAAAGGAGAGAGTTAAAGGTCATAGTATCCACTGTGATAGGTAGATGTGGGGAAGTCCAGTACATCTTCTGTTATTTCTGTAGACTTCTATCTGTGTGTCCCATAATCTTATGTATCATTAGAAGCCAGTGGTGTCTGAGCTATTCTCTGTAATAGGAACCACCAGCCAGTGCTGCAGAGAAATCAAAGTGAGAGACCAGGGGTGCCTGCACAGCAGGCTGCTGATGTCAGGGTGAATAATTAGCCTTCCCCATCAATTTGAACTCTTCTCCTTTTTTGTGATAGATATATAGTGCCTTTTTTGTCTAAAATGCTCTGTAGTGCTGGCCAGTCATTCCTACTAGTGAAATGCTTCATTAGCTGCCACTGGTCCTTCCTTTTAAGAAATGTAGAAAATTAGGCATCCAGATATGGGTGGTGTTCATTACATTCAATGGGATGTCCCTGTAAAGGTATGTTTAGATGGGGATGCAATTGTTAACATCTCCACTCTACATATAGGCTTGTAGTTGACAACCACACTAATAATTATCCAGTAGAGAAAAATTCGACTGTCGATTTTTGGTGGTTGTCTGCTCCAGCAGAACTACATTATCTGTTTTGGTAACAACTGTTGTTGTTTTTAAATTAACTAAAACAAAATAAAGCACTGAAGGCATACAGCTGGTGTTAGATGTTAGATGTTCTATTGCCGGTTTCTTACATGCTTTCTTTAAGAGGTTATAATGCAATGTTTTCTTTTGTTAATTCAGTATTTCTGATGCTTCTCATTGAAGCTAAATGGCAAAACATTTTGTCTGGTTAGATTTTAACTAACAATCTTATCATTTATCCTAAAAAGCACACTTGCTATCACGCTTGGTAGCATATTTGGCCACTGTGAATGGACTTTAGTCACACCCTCTTAAGGTTTTTTTTTCAAATCACTGATGAGTATCACTGCTTTTCTTCTTCTTCTTTTAAATATCAATTACTTTCAGTATTACCTAGATGCTGCTGAGAACTGTGCCATATACAAAAGGCCAGTCACACAAGTGGTTTTTGCATTTTGTGGTCTCTCTGATGTGCAAACAGCTGGACAATTCGGGCGTGAAGGATAGCTTGCAAAAGTGCTTGCAGGATAGTCCAGCTGTGTTTCACAAACCCTACAGGATTCTGGCTGATACTGTTTAGATTAATCTTATAGAAACCCTAAGTATTAGAGGTAAGATTGCAATGACAAAGGTGGCTTGTCCTATTCACCCTGTGTTCCAACTGATGTTCTTATTTGGGGAAAACAGGAGGATCAGAAATATGTTCTGCACAGCTGGTCTATTTGTAGACCATGAGAAACCATGATTTACCTTGAAGGGAATGGAACAGGCATCCCTGAGGACTGCAGGAAGCTTAAAAGCTTTCTCTTCAGTTTTTTTTAACTTTCTGCAGCTTGCTTTGTTTTCCAAACGTGAGTGGGTGAGGGAGCTGTTAAAACAGAAGGAGGCTAGGTTCAGAGGTTGGCAACGTTGAGCACCCAGATGTTGATGAATTGCTACTCAGTTCACACCTCACTGATAAGGCTGATGGGTATTGAGGTTCAATAACAAGGGAAAAGCCAGACAATTCCCAAGGCGTAGCACAGGCTTTGATGGTGTTGGAGTACCACCAGTGTGAGGAATATTTCTTTCTCTTCATCAAGGTGGTTAAGATAAACTCAGTCTGAATTCCATTCCGTGTATCCACGGAATGTGGATATTGGCACAATGTGCCAATATTGGTACATAGGATTTACCATATACAGATAGAATGTATATAACTGCAGCACAATGTGCCAATATTGGTACCCAGGATTTACCATATACAGATAGAATGTATAGCTGTATTTTTGTTTATTCCTTGACAGAAAACATTTAAACACTACAGAAAATGAGTTAACACATTTATATTAAATATGTTACTTATGCAGGTCTGTCTTATACATAAGTATAAAATATGTAATGGGGACATTTTTCAGGAATGTACAAAAATCATCTATGAATTTGCAGAAGACACTAGGAAGTTATATTTTGGAGCCCTAACACCAGGCTATGATCTCATGGCAAAACTTAGGTAAGTGCTTTTATAATTTCCCTCAGATTTGGCTTCAAATAACACCTTAGATAAATGCAGCTGAAGGGAATCTGTTTGGATGGTTCCTTGTACTGTGTGGGAAACAGCACATTCTTTTCCTCCTAAATTATTTAAATGGTATTTAATTATTAAGGCTGACTAATGTTTATCATTCTGTTTTTCTGTAGGGGATGCATTGATTCGATTCTCCCTCCTAATGCTCATGAGATAGCAGAAAATCGTCTTTTTGTATCAGTCACTAGTGCTAAAAATGGAAAGAATCATTTGCTTTCAAATTTTGCCTCCAGGGAGGATCTTGTTAAGGTAGGAGAGTTGCATATCACTTCTATAAATGAAAATGCACAAGTGTCTCCAGGATCTAAGCGTTGGGGTTTTATTAACTGTGGCCTGAGAACGCTTCATTTTATTCACTTGAGTAACTTCATTGCTTTAAGAAGGACTGCTGACATGTTTCAAGAAAGAATTGCCTGACTTAACACTTCTGAAGCAACTGGGCCTTAATTATTTGTTTAAAAGTCATAATCTCTTATGGTTCTCCCTCTCTCTTTGAGGGTGAGGAAAGGAAAGAAACCAACTCTTTATATCAAACACCATCCATAGGCATCCTTCGGTCTCGAGAGACTATGGTAACATGCTCTGAATCGAGGAGTGTCCTCTCCAGAGCATGAACCCTGGGTAAAGTAATATGGAGGATAGGCTGTTACCCAACCAGCAAATTCCCCCTTTTCCCCGTTGCTGAAATGATCCAATGGAAAGGCAAGAGCCAATACAACTGGTTCCAGCAATGTTGCAGGAGTTGGCAGAACGAAATGAACTGCCTTCAGGACTCCAGTTCCGGATTTTGCCTCAAGGTTAACTCCTGAAGCCTTTTCCATCATTGGATATAGGCCAAGGAAATCCTGATCTGTTCTATGCCATGAAAGGAAGAGCTGGAGGATATTGTCAGTTCAGTCTAACAAAGTACACTTGTGTGCAGAAGCAGGTTTTTGCACAGCAAGCCCCTGTAGATATATGTCTACATCCCTGTGTTCATCCAGGTCCTCCTGATTTCCTTCAATAGTAGTCCCTCTCTGCTACTTAAGAATCTGTTCTGGAGGATTTTGTAGCCCTCTAAAGCATGTATTTGGGGTACGGTGGAGTCATTTCATCCTAGATCCACCTGTAGAGTTCTTTTATCGTCATATTTACCCAGCTCAGTATCAATCCTTTCCAGAGTGTTGCTTCATTGAAAATCAGGCTGTTTCATGGAAAACTGAGTAGCCAGTTTAGACACCGATTTTATGGTGCTTAAACTCTTTTTTTCCCTATGAAAACAGAATATTTTTTTTAGTGGCTGAGAAGCATCATATGTAACGATTTGTTGGCCATGCCATTACTTAAGGCAGCCAGATTCAGCTTACATTGGATAAAAGAGCTGACCCTGACTATAGCAGAGGAAGAAGTATAGAAATTATGCCCATTCAATTCTTTCTCCCAAGAAAGTTCTATTCCTAAACTGTTTCCATTCAAATTAATGATTATGGGTGCTTTGTAACTATAAAAACTGGTGCCTGAGTTCGATTGTTTTTCATTTTTTCCCCAGTTCCTTTTCTTTCTTTTTTTTTCCTTTTGTGTCTTCCGGATGGTATGTCCTGGGAAGGACTATTTTGTTTGTTATTGATCTGTGTAAGCCTCTCTGTGATCTTCTCTGGTTGTAGAGCTCCTTAAACTACTTGCGAATAAATAAATAGGCAAGATGAATTGTCACTTAAGGCACCCTACTTCAAATGAAACACAAAACAACAACAACCTTATTCTGAGCATGGGGTAGAAGGTCATATTGTAAAACTTAACACAACCGGTCTCCTTGAATAACCGGGGTAATTGTATTCAATAGGTAGTCCCTAGATAGCTGGAGTTCTGCAGAAAATATAGTGCCTCCATATATACATGCAATGTAAACAACTTATTTTCATGCAACACTAAACTATAGCATTATGAGACTGAAGGGATCTCCTTATCTGCCATCATGGACTGCAAGGAGGTGTTTGAAAGATTTTGCTGATGTTTGGCTTACCATTTTTTCTGAATCGAGCCAATTGTGTTTACTCTTAAAATAGGTTTGTCGAAACAAGACTGTATCTTCAACAAGAATTTAGGAAACTAGCTAGTTTTAACAAACTAGAGTTTAAGATTAGCCACAGTTTAGAGTTTAGACAGCTAATGCATTGCTCTATCTTTTGGATGTGTTCCCTTATGTGTTGTGATTACATTGATAAATTTGTGATCCGTGCTGGTGGTTACATTAAACCGCAAGGAGAAACTTTCATTCTCATATTTTGTTATCAGTTCCAGAGAAGGAGAAGGATGTGTATGTGTGCATATGCACATATCTATATACACATTCAGTGTTTGCTGCATCTTGTTCTTATAATACTAATTCATGTTTAGCATTATGTTATGCATCCTATTTTTGGCAGTAAAAATACATATGAGCAGTGTGAAATATGAATTAAAAACAGTTATTACTCAGCAGGTATCTTTTCACAGAGATAAATTAAAGAAAAGGACATTAATACATTAATACTGTTTCACCCCCCCCCTTTTTTTTTAGGTCCTTCTAGCAAGCAGTGCTATTCCTCTATATGCAGGAATCAATCCAGTGGAATATAAAGGACAGGTCTGTATGGTTAAACTTGTAATTCAGTCTTAAGGCTATGTTTTTTGGGACACTGTCAAAATTGACCTCTCAGCTAGACAGATCAGATCCAACAACAGATAAAATTTATGTAAATGTAATAGTAAAAATGTACAGCTAACCTTCGTAGCGTAGTGGCCTTAAAACCTGGTTTCCTATTGTGCTTAAATAGCTATCATGGTAACATATAAAGATAGCAATCTGGATGACATGCTTAACATAATGGTGCTGTACATCCATTTGTGCCTGATGCTGAAATTCATCTCATCATCTGGGTCACCCATCCAATCTATACATATAGGAGAGTGTATTTATTTGTTTGTTTTCTGCCAATCATAGGGATAGCATATGGATATGTTGACATCTATATTGGAGAAGAGTTTGAACAGGTCATGCTGCAGAGATGAGAGAGATTGTATATACTAAACTGTCCCCACTGTGCAATTGTTAAAGATACAGGAGTCTTCTCTGCTGCATGAATCATCTTGAATACAAGCAGCATATCCTCTAACTTTCAGCTCCGCTGGGCGGGGATCTGCCTCTCTCTCGACTTTGCTCCTATGTGTGCGCACACAACTTCCCCCCTGCGTGCAGGGTTCTGTCATGACTGGAACCTAATGCGATCACTGCACGAAAGGAGAAGACAGCTATGCGGAGGGAGGCAAAGGCATGCATGCCCGCACCCAGTTTGCAGGGAACCTTGATTACAAATGGTGTGCACGCACACAACTCCCCCCCTGCGTGCAAGGTTCTGTCGTGACTGGAACCTAATGTGATCACTGCACAAAGGGAGAAGACAGCTATGCAGAGGGAGGCAAAGGCATGCATGCACGCACCAGTTTGCAGGGAACCTTGATTACAAATGATGAAATCCTATTAAAATATGAATGTATTCAGCCCTGTTGAGCTACTGCAGGTGTCATAGTCTCCTTTGTCTCCACTTGGACAGAGGAATCATACGAGATTCAAAACTCTGTCTGGGTATCATTTAGGAACAACTTCAAAATAAGTTGGTTTGTTTTTTAAATCCAGATTGCATTATATGTATATAAATATTTGTTTTTCTTGTCCTTACAGGGGAGGACAAAAAACTGTAAAACTTTTATCCTCACCTTCTGAAAGGGAGAGATATTTTCTAATGGTTTCAGTGTGGTGATTTTTGTGCAAATTGTATGAAATCATAGTAGCTGCTGAATTGCTGCTTGAACTTTTAAAAAATTGAATCATTGAATGGGTTGTTTTCATATTTTTAAACACTCAGCCAGTCCTTCTATATTTGATCTGTGCGTCTACATGCATGCACAGTGTTTCTGAAGGAGAAAGAACACCACTATTATGAAAACTATCCCAGAGACATTTTGCACAAATTGCGACAGGGAAAAAGGGCTCCTTGTCTTGCTCTCATTCTGGAAAGGTTGGAAACCTGCAGGTCTTCTTCTTCACCAGGGTGTCACAATACAGCCTGAACTGATGAAAACAAAAAATAACTGTGTGTGTTCTTCACATCATTGTTTTCCATAATGTATCTGGTTTGTCATTTACGCAATATTCGTCTCTGTATGTTCAACAACAAATTCCATGACTTTGCCAATAAAAGTGGATTTTTATTGTCCACTCATGAAGACCCAGTTTATTTGTTTTTTCCCCAAGAACTTGAGTTTAATGGTATGTTGCTCCCCTTTGAATTCATTTCTACAGTCAGAGCTTCCTGCTTGGAAGCTTTCAATTTGCAATCCACATGGGAAAAATCTGTACCCAAAAAAGATATCCCAGAATCTAGCAGGGGATTGGCTTTTATGCATAGCAGACAGAATTCTAGATTTTCTTAGAAAGGAAAGAGTTTTGAAAGATTCTCAAAAGTAGATGTGAAGCGGAGGAAGACTTTTATCCTGACCGACAGGGACAAATTGTGGACAAAGTTTGGAGAAACCTTCCCCTCTCTAGAAGAGCTCTAGAGTCTCATTAATCTCAGAGAAATCTTTTTGCCCCTATAGTTAAAGTTGGACTCCAGATAGCAATGGCACCTTATAACCAGATTTTAGTTGTAGCGAATACTTGTAGTTTCTGGACTGCATACTGAATGATAGCTTGCAGGATGAGTAAGGCAGACTTACTCATTTACCCATTGTATTATACTTTTTTGTGGTTCATGAAGCAGCCCAGAGTTACATAGATTTAGATACCTGAATTTACTGGTAGATGTATATTCCATTAAGCTTAGTCTTCATGCTTCATGCGCTTCTTTTAAGTGGATTTTAACTACACACTATTTCAGTGTCTCTCCTGCCTGTGATGTATGTGTGAATTACTGGAAATAATATCTGAAAATGCAGCAGCTTCTGAATTATGAAGAAGTAGGAAACAGTGCAGCAGAAAGAGAGAGTGTTTCCCCCTAACAATTAAATGATCTGCATTGCTACTTTAGACGTGGGTTGGATTGCTCAAGGATATCCCTTTCCTTTCCTGCAGTTTCAATTTTTTTAATCTACAGGTCAGCTTTTTTCTCATGCCTTTTTGAAAATTTCACTGATACACATCAAGAAATCACACATTTTAAATAGGAAAAGGAGACATTTTTAGCTATCTGGTTTCATTTTTATAGCTTCTTATAGCTTCTGTTGCCAAATATTCAGCTTAACTGACTGAAAATGAAATGGGAGGAAGCGGAACTTTTGTTTGTCTTGCGTACCAGTTGCTCCAGTTAAAAATATAAATGGATCCTTAAACTTTGAAATATAAGCAATATAGATGTGGCTGTCCCTAGACATCAGCCTCTGATTTAGGCCTGTTCCTTAACTTTAATTCCTCCTCATGTGGGAAGTTAATTATCTTAGCAAATTTGATGTGCTCTGTTGGCCTCAACATGCATTATTGGCAGCCAGCTTATAATACCTCTGTGGCTATGTGATGGGTTCTAATAAAGTGTACATACATATTTGTACCACTCTAAAGATGATGCACTTTGAGGTGTTGTGAGGTTGAGAAGATTAAGAAGGAATTAAGACTAGTCAGAAAATCTTGCCGTAGATGTCTTAATGTAAAGTATGTGTTATTCTGATTTTGAACTGTCCGGTGAGTATTGGCTGTCAAGCTCAGTAGAAATGCAGTGAGTAGGCAAATTTAAAAAGTGGATTACATACACGAGGCATCCTTCACAAGACAGAAGAATTGAAAGAGAAGCAAAATACTGCCTCTGATTAACATTCCCAAAGGGGAGGTTTTGAAGTTGTATAAGAGCAATTTATGCACAGAGAAAGTTTAGAATAAAGTGTTGACTGCTTATGTGCCCTGAGAGAGCAGATTTGCCAGTGTCACAAAAGAACAATGAAGTAGGTTAAATGTCCAAATAATGTTATTTTATTTTATTTTTAACAGAAATGGATTGATGGTGGTTTGACCAACGGTCTCCCTATCTTGTCAGTGGGCCGAACAATAACTGTTTCTCCTTTTTCTGGACGACTAGACATCTGCCCACAAGACAAAGGGCGTATGGATGTCTATGCTAAAGTTGCCAAACAAGACTTACTGGTGAGTTGTGCAAATGAAGTGACGTATGTTGTTGTTTCAGAAAAATCTTGTCTGTATAAGGGAGCAAAAGCCTGGGTACCAAGATTTTACATAAATTTCTGGGCGTGTTGCTTTTCTTTATTATTATGCCCAATTCAACTTCCTGGTCTCCTCATCTTAAGTTAGGATAAATAAATTCAGCTCCCCAAATAAAGGCACCAGGAAGATGTTTGGTTTAAGCAATCTCATTAAGAGAAAGAAAAGTTTAGTTCCTTTAGGAAGTGTAGTACTGTATTTTCCTTACTGCGTCAACGCTTTAAGGATAAACTGCATGTTTAAAATACACAGATGACAAAAAAAACTAAAACCATGTTTAAGAGCCAGCAACAACAATGGGCTGTCAAGTCAATTCTGACATGGGTTGTTTAGGTAGTACTCAGAACTGTTAGGCTATCCCCTTTTTCTGGGGACACCCCGGAACTGTGCTGCTTACCCAAGGCCACACAGGTTGGCTCTTCTCCCTGGAGGCACAGCAGGGAATTGAACTCCAAACCTCTGGCTCTGCATTCAGATACAGTGGTGCCCTGCATAGCGACGTTAATCCGTTCCAGGATTAACATCGCTATCCGGATTCGTCGTTATGCGGGGGGGGAAACCCATAGGAACGCATTCAACTCTGTTTAATTCGTTTCTATTGGGGAAAAACTCCCCGGTAAGTGAAGATTCCCCCATCCAGGCGCCATTTTTGCTGCCCGGTAAGTGAGGGCATGGCGCGAAAACGCTGTGGGCGGCCATTTTCTGCCCCCGGCGGCCATTTTGGATCCGCCGATCAGCTGTTTTCTAAACATCACAATGCGATGCTTAGCCCATCTAAACATTGCAATGTGATCGCATTAGCGATCGCAAAAAACACGTTGCTATGCAGATTCGTTGTTAAACGGTGCTCTCGTTAAGCAAGGCACCACTGTCCCTAACTCACTGAGCTTTCCAGCCAGCTTTATGAGCATATAGATGACACCAAAGTTATATCCTTATATCATCTCACTTCCTAGGGCTTGCTTATTTGACTCAATCACTTGATATTTATAATACATTAAAATATTTTTATATCACCATTCATCTTATAAAATATAACAATGACCGTGATGTAATAAACAATGAAAACAATAGAACAGCATCAACAGTAGCAGTAAAAGACAGCAAGTGCCTGAGACAGATGATCTCAGCTGGCTTAATAAAACAGTTTTAAAAGCCTAGGAAAACAAATTTGATTTGGTGCTGAAAAGAATTTACAATACAGTAACTTTAAGTGAGACTTATTGTTGTTATGTTATGTCCAGGATTGCTTTGGTACAGTTCCCATGCAGAGAAGGGATTATCCTGGGTCAGTTCCTATTTCGTAGCCTAAATTACCACATTGGCTTGCCATGAGCATAAAATAAATGGTGGTTTGCTACCCTGAGGAAGGATGGAACAGCAGTGGAAGACATCAGGGAAGTAGCTTTTTATAGACAGCGTGGAGAGAGCATTTTCAGACTCCTGGGCAAGTTTGATGTAGAAACTGGGATAATTCACTAGCCTCAGGAAATTATGCATGATTTTATTTCTCTTTCTAAAAGTCCTTAATGTTTGATGCTTCAGCCATTCATCAAGCTTGTGCTTTTATTTTAGTGTGTGCATAGGGAGGGACAGATTTGTTTCTGCTCTGTGTCACATTTGTATGTTTTTTACCCATCCAGTCTGATTGGTTTTAGTGCTAAGCTTTATTTATTTATTTTTGGAGTCTTTCTCAAAATAGTATTTAAAAGCATATTTTAATGGGCCTTTTCTATAATAATATGTATTTACAACTGCATTTCCCCCAAAACACATAATGGCTATATTTACTTGGTAAAATTGTGTGGATAACTGTTCCAGTCTGCATATCAGTCTGAAAAATACAGATCATGTTGTTTTGTTCAAGAATTCAAAAAGATTGATTTCTTCAAGCATCCACAGCAATGTGAGAAAGCTATGGAGGAATTTGAGGAGACTTATGTATCATTTTACTATGCAGTGCTTTGAACTCTGGCCTAAAACAAATTGCTATTCCTACTGAGTCAGTGTAACTTATATCAAAGTTGATTCACCAAGTCCCAATTGATTCAGCAAATGTGGTTTAGCTGGGATTAACAATTGGATTTCAGCCTTTATATTAAATGATAGGAAATAAGTTGGGTCATTAATTGCGCAAGTTCTAATACATAAAGATTGGCTTCATTGTCATATGAAACCAGGTGCCGTAGTGACCAAAATGTTGGGATCAGACTCAGGAGAAAGATTCAAATCCTGATTGATGCCTGAAGCTCATTGAATGGTGCTGGGCCATACTTCATTGGGATTGTGGTGAAAATAAAGGTAGCAGAAGGGTTACATGTGCCATCTGGACTTCATCAAAGGAAAAGTGGGGTATAAATGCAAGTTAAGTATGTACGTAAATACATATATAAATTAATACAAATGTATTCTACATGTTCTTTGGCTCACCAACTGAGTGTTCATGTAAACCTGTTTCCCCTTACCCATAACTATTCACACCATTAAATCTCACATTATCATTGCAGGAGGTAAGAGTTATAAGCTGTGCCTAAGAATTTAAGATTTTTATTATAATGCACAGCAAAATGCTTGGCTGTGTGCTTTCATTTGTTTGTTATATCAATAGCTCACTTCTCTTTCTAAAAGCTCAGGAAAGCATAGTTAGACTTGCCCTTCCCCCTTTTCCATTTACATCTTCTGATACATAATTAGGAACTTGAACACCAGTGAGCCCCGCACCTGACTGGCATTTGAAACCTTGGTCTCTTTCATTCTAGTCCAGGACTGTAACCATTTACAGTGGTGCCTCACATAACGAGCGCACCGTTTAACGATATATCCACATAGCGATGCGGATTTTGCAATCGCTAATGCGATCGCATACCAATGTTTTATTGCATTGCGACGGGGGAGCAGCTGTTCGGCAGTTCCAAAATGGCTGCCGGAACACCCAAAATGGCCGCCGGAACACCCAAAATGGCCGCCAGAACACCCAAAATGGCCGCTGGAACATGGGGAAATATTGCAGAATGGTGAGTTTTGGGCCCATTTGGAACGCATTAAACGAAGTTCCAATGGGCTTTTCCGTTCTGTTTAGCGATGTTTCCCCATAGTGAAGGTTAATCCGGAACGGATTAACCTCGCTGTGCGGGGCACCACTGTATACCAGTAGTGGGCTGAATGAGAGGCTTCCTGTGCAATCAGCTCTAAATATGCGATGCTTGCTTAGAAAAAGCAGAGCAACTAAATACTTAAAGTGTATTTGTGGAGTTGTGTGTGCGCGTAGTGTTAACATTTGATAGCATTAATTCTCCCACCTCAACTCCTTTACTAATTAAGTATTGATTTACCATTTGTCAGTTGATTCAGTGGGTCTTCTTAAGCTGGGACAAGTTATTGCATTTAGCTATTGGAGAGCCTGCCTATTAGCTTCACTAAGGCAGTTACCTCCGCTGTTGGGGCTCTAGAGATAGCAAAAACACTACTCACATGCCACCATCACAACTGGCCCTACTTTTTATGCCTTTAAAAAACCCTCTTGCCCCACTGCCACAAAACAAACAAGCAGAGATATCTGTGCTTCCTTGATTAAATGGCCAGTTCTTTGCAGTTCTTTCGGTGGGGGGGGGGGAGAGATCCTTGGACACAAGAAATGATAGATGGGGTGGGATCTGAGATAATCTCAGAGACCACTCTCCTCCTAACACTTTAGTTCTGAGGATTCCCTTTGGGACCAACATTTAAGAAAATCAGCCAGCTTTGCATTGGATTGGCCTCTTGAAGGTGGAAGTGCATCTACCTCTGCTTGTTTCTCTTGCAGCAATATATGTATGGGACAAAAGGTTTTTTGCTTTTTCTTTTTAAAATGGGAGGTGGGGATCAGGCAAGCATAGCAGTCCCACGATGGTTAAACGAGGCGCCCATTAAGCGGGGCACCACTGTACAATAAAGGTATACTCAGCATAGAGACTTGGAACCTCACAATAAGTGACAATGTATTGCCTCAAAACAAAGCTAATCCTCACTAATCCATGAAGACAACAGTACATCCTTTTCATTTGTCTTTCTTCTTGGTTGTAGTTGTCCACCACCAACCTTGTAAGACTTCATCAGGCTCTATTTCCACCAGGCCAGGAGAAAATGAAATCCTTGTACCAAGAGGGATATGACAATGCCATCCATTTCTTACTCAAGGAAAACTGGTTTGAATAGATTATGTGTGTCGAAAATTAACAAAGTCTGATGGCTGTCAGAGCAAAGCTTCAAATGCTCTGCAGAGCCCAAGGGACTGCTGTCACAATTTTTGTTTATCTAAAATGAATGCCATAGGAATTGCATCTGTCACTGTCAAACAAGTGTTTATGTTTAGGTGTGTTGGATGGAATTTGTAAACAGGTTCAAACGCAATGGAATTGAATTTGAGAAATAACTGGTTGTATCTTTCTAGAACAGATAAAACTAGTAAAAATTAGAGGATTCTCTTTTTAAAGCGCAGAATTCTAGTACAGAATGGAATAATTATTTGAGAAACGTTGGAACTAGGATTGGCTGGCATTAATTGGATTTGAGATGTATGTTCTGAATGTAACAAGGAAATATACAGTGTCTGCAGAGATTTGCACACTCACATCCTTTCACAAGTAATCCTGTTTATGTGCTTATTAATTGACTTATTCATTTTCATTTTTAAATCTCCCCCAGTCCTGGGTGTACTCTCAAGCATGAACTCTAATTACACAGAGACTGTGGGAGACAAAACAGCTTAATTGCATATCTTTTAATTGTTATGCATATGTGTTTTGCCATTAGTACATCTTGTTCTTCAAATAAATTGTGTAACTTTTTCCATACTGATTTGCATACTGTAATGTTTCAAAGTATTTGCTTTTATTTTTTGTTACATAAACTACATTGGGAAAAGATGATACTTTAGGCAAATTTTTATAGTAGGGGAATTGTTTTCATGTAGGAATTAAAGGCCATTGCAGATCCTAGGTATGCCAAGCAAACATTGCCACATGTCATCAGGTAACTGACTTATCTAGTCGAAATGGCCCAAATTACAGAGGAAGTCACTTTGTCCAAAAGGGTTTCTTTACCGCTGAGAAGTCACAGGATCTGAGTTTCCAGCAGTATTTGTGCTTCTAACATAATGTAGGAACAATCTGAAATTTGTTCCGTTTCTGTGTTATCAGCATATTAATGGATTATTAATACTCGGAATAAAGCTCCAAATTCTTCACAGTGTTTTGTTATTTAGTTTCTGGATTCTTTTCCAATGACTGATTTGGGTACAAGGAACACAGTCCAACGATGCTGAAAATAAGTTACAGAGGAGAACATTATGTGCAGTCAGGGCTTCATTCATTGATTCCACCACAGAAATTCTTACTTGTAATGTAACTGACTACTGTTGAATAGCAGCTTTCTCTTCTTAAGTGGGGAACAGTTCCAGCATTTCACTGAGCTTCCAACATGCATATATTACTACTACTTTACACTGCAACTATTGTAATTTTTTTAAAGCTACAAATATTTTTGTAAATAACTATGCATGTGCATTTTTTTTCCTAATGTGGACTTTACAAACAGAATGAGGAGATTCTTCTCTTCTGTCCCGAGACATAGGTGCTCCTCATCACTTGAAAGGCAGATCAGGGAATAGGGATTCAGGCTGTGCTGGATGGGGTTATACTCCCTCTGAAAACACAAGGGGGCAGCTTGGGGCTGCTCCTGGATGCATCTGTGAGCCTCAATGCCCAGGTTTGGTCAGTGGTCAGGATTGCCTTTGCACAGTTAAAACTAGTGTGCCAGCTACACCTAGTTCTTGAGAGGTCTGATCTGGGCACAGTGACACATGCCCTAGTTACATCTTGGCTGGATTGCTATAATACAGTCCATGTGGGGCTGCCTTTGGAAAGTGTTTGGAAACTCCAGTGGGTCCTAAATACTACAGCCAGATTGTTAACTGGGGCTGGCTACAGGGAACATATAACCCTTGTTACAACAGATCCACCGGCTGCCAATCCTTTTCCGGGCACAATTCAAACTGGTTTCAACCTATAAAAGTCTAAAAGGCCTGGGTCCAAGCTATCTAAAAGACCACGTCACCCTGTATGTGCCTGCCCAGGCATTAACGTAATCAGGAGAGGCCTTTCTCTTGGTGCCTCTTAGGAGATGGGCCAATGGGGATTACCCAGAGTGTGTGTGGCTGGCAGGGTTACGTGCCCTGCCACCTGTGTGGCCTTGGGCATGCTACATGCTCCCAGACTACCATTAGAAAGAGGGACTGGTAAATTGCTTCTGAGGCCCTTATGCCTAGAATATCAGGAGGGTCACTGTAACTCATAAATGACTTGACAGCACATAATTAATGAATGTCCTGGAAAGGTGCCCTTTCATGCACCTTTTCCAACTCTGTTCTCTCCTTTTTGAAGTGGGACGGTTAGGTACGTTATCCACTGTTCCAGACATGGCCACAACTAAGCTGTGCATGAATAGAAGAATTCGCTTTCATCTAAAGTGGCTTATGAAATTGATTTGTTGAGGTGATACATAAAGACAACTTTTCAGTAATGCCTCATGCAGTTTTGTTCTTCTAAATTTCTGCTATGTAGGCACCAGTTCTTTTGCTTCAGTAGAACAGACCTCATCTGACCAGTCAGGATCTCAATGTGATGCAGCTTTGAAGCAGCTTGGCCCTTTAAAAAAAAAGGTGATAAAGAGTTGAACCTTAAATTCAACCTCATATGCAATAGCTAGAGAGCAGTGGAAGAAAATCATTGACAACATGCATCCTCTCTGACCTCTATTACAGACGAGATGACTACGATAGTGTGAAGCAATGTTCTTCCAAGACCAAGGCATTCATTTCCAGACATACTCTGTGGAAGCTCTGATACCTAAAAAGTTTGAAATGAATGCAGTGTCTTTTCCTAGAGTTGATTGTATCTAAAGTTTTAAAGGTTGCAGTTTTATATGAAAGATTAAATACTAGACTGCCATGAATTTTTTGTACATCTGTATATGATGTTCTGCATTTAATACTTCCTGAATCCCTTCTTCTCTAGGCTGAAGAATCCTCGTGCTTTTAGCCCCTTCCTTGATGGAAACGTATCTTTCATTTATGATGACTGAAATCCCAGGGGCATTTTAAAAATATATAAAAAGACCAGCTAGAACAGACCACAGCTGGTCTAATGTAACATCCTATTTTTCACCATAGTCAACCAGATGCCTCTTTGACATTCTTAAGACCAATTAAAACAGCAATCCTATATGTTATTTATTTATTAAATATTTCAGTTATTCAAATCTACTCCTCCTGCTAGTGCCATAGCACTACTTTGGATGGTTCACAGTAAAATACATAATCCAACAATTAATATAATATAACCTTAAACAATCTAATCACATAAAAACAGAATGCACCAGAGCAGAAATAAAGCAACATAAAACAAAAAATGAAACCAAAACACAAACTCCATAGATAAGAAGAGGATTGTACTATAAATGCATTTAATTAACATCTGAAAATCTTAACCCAGATTAAATTAATGCCAATTAATGGTAATGTTTTATGTTTTAAATGTCAGCACATTATTTCCTAGCTTCTTAGTGAGAGACAAAACACTTCAGTTCATCTGTTCTGGAGGCTGACCTCATAATGCCTAGAGGCTGGAGCCTACTGTAGCTCTGTGAAATGTTGGGTAAAGCAGCCTTACATACTCATTGGCTTCTTTGCCACAGGCCTGAAAGCTAATTTTCTTGTATGCAAAGGCAGTGTTTTGTGTCAGTTTTTCCTTCAGAATACTGAATATGTTTACATACAAATGCAAGAGCAGGCTATACCTTTATAAACCATTAAAGTTATCATATAATACATGAGCTTTTGTGAATGAACACTTCATTGGGCTTGTATCAGTGTGAAGAACTTAAATGAAACCAAAACACAGATAATATGCAGTTACCTGGAAGTTAGACTCTACTGAAGCAATTGTAGGTAGAGAAGAATAGGATTGTATTATAAGTTCATGGCGATTTTGTAAGCCCTTTGCCTGGGGAAAGTTCATCTACATCCATATAATATTTTCCATTTTCATATGGAAGTAGGCCAAGACCAACTGCCAAGGAAGGTCTACCCACAGAACTTACTTGGACTACAAATTCCAGAATCCTCCAACCAGGCCTTTCTCAGATGCTCTCACAGATACTAAAGCTGCCTCTACTGTCAAGCACAGAGAATCACAAAATGCACTGAAATCACAAACAGAATCTGTGATAATTTCTTTCCGCATCCCCAAATGTTGTGTTCTGAAAAAAGGAGAGCTTTGTTAAGTTTTTCTCCGGTTGAAACTTAGGACCATCAGTATCAACCACATTCCCTTTCTTCTCTTCCATATTGAAAGCCTAAGGGGAAAATGTATCAGTTTTGGGTGCCATAGAATTGTCCTTTGCATCAAAACTATTCCATGTTTTAGGGGGAGCTAGATTTAGATTATCATTAAAACAAGTCAAAGGAAGCTACTTTGCCTCAGATACTGTATTTCCAGAATTGTTGAGCTAGTCCATTTCAGTTCAAGGTTTGCCACAATCTCATGACCATTATTGCCTTATATCATATTTGAGTTTAATTCTATCGGTACTTGTTAGTTTTATAAGTGGGATGTTATTCTTTAGCTATTTCTTCCTTCTATTCTATCTCAGTTTATGAATAAGAAACAAAGACAAGAGAGGGACAACCCGGTGAATTGTTGTTAAAATACCATAGCAGTCATGTGTGCTTCCTTGAGTCATAGAATTTTGGAAAAAATATTTTCTATAGTTTAGTGTAATTAAGCAGGATGACAATGTGATCTTCCATCACATACTGGCAGTCTTTTATGATTATTTTAAAAATCTTTGTGTTGTCCGTCATAAGAAATTACAGCAATTAATCATTACAGAGAAGAGCATTCACCTTTTGTGTGGTGTACTCTTGCCAGCATGACTACTTTTCCTAGAGGAAGCTTTGTGCTAATACTCTGCAAAATAGTTTTGAATTTTGCTTAGTAAAATATTGGCCTCACACTTAAAAAAACAAAAACAAAAAACAAATCAGGAATCTATCTAAATCTGCATGGTTTACAAGGAAGAGAACAGCCACATAAATCTAAAGCTTCCTAGCTTCGTTTCAGACATTGTTGCTCTCCTTTTGGAAAATGGGCCTTCTGATTTTACTTGGAAAAATATGAATGATGTCACCATTTTGTGTTGTTTGAACTCAAGGGAGGCCTTTACAAAGCTTTTAGAAGGCCCATTCCATGTAGCTCTTTCGGTGACCGGTCATGTTTGTCTCGTCAAATCTGTGTAAGAGGCACTTGTAATATTAATGAGTGCTCTGAAGAAGAAAATTAACCTCCCTCAGTTAGTGGGTATATAACTATAAAGCAAAATTGGCAAACGCTTTTCCTCCACGCCACATGTACTTAAGCTATTGTCAGTCAACTGAAGCCAAGTATAAAAGACCTACCGCTTAGGAGCTGGTTAGAGAGTTAAATTCCCCTGGGGATTCATGAATAGGTTGGAAAAACTGCTAAAATTAGCCCTGGCTCAATCTCAATATTTGCTTCCTTTTGAGTTTTGGAAAAAAGCACTGAATAGTGCTAGCCTGTTATTCCAGTATAAATTGCTAAGCAGTGTTGTTGCTCTTACATGAAAGATCTGTCAGTGCTGCTTCTATATGTCTCAACAGAAGGAGGAGCAATTTATGGCCATCCCAATGTTATTGAATTACAACCCACAGCACCCCCCACCCCACCCCACACACCAGGTATTTTATCTTGAGATGATGTGAGTTGCAGTCTAGAAA